ATATATATAGTATATGTAGTGAATACTATAGATAAAATTAATCAAAAACCAATATAGTTTATCTTGGAAGGAAACCTCACAAAAGAGAAATATGTAGACTGCGACTGCAAAGATAACAACATTTTAGCAATGGCAAAATCAGCACAGGTTTGCATTGCATAGACTGGTAGAATGACGCATTTTATGTCAGTGCCACCCTAAGATATTCTGTCTGGTTGTTATTAGACCTTGTTGCTCTCTGTTCTCACTTGGGACTCTGGTGATGATGTGCTAGACTGATTGGAACATCTCCCAGGCTGTAAGTGGGTCCTCTCACTGTAAGACTGATAGCAGTGACACTGTGCACATTGCAGTCATTGTCTTGCATCCATAATCTCCATACAGTCAGTATCTGATGGTAGACTAAAGCATATCTAGAAGCTTCTATGAAAAATGGGGGCTGTACTCAAATTGAATTATGCCCTTGCACTTTGACATTTCACTCAAGCTGGCCATATGCTGGTTGCATTTTGGCCTTCTGACGCTGAAATTTGACCAGTGTGTGGCTCGGTCGGGATCCCCCACTTAACAAAAGTTAATTTCTCAATTGACTTTTGTCGAAGGAGCCGGTCCAAAAATCTCAGCTGAACAGTGGCTGCAGCAGAAGTGACTGTTTGGGTAACCTAAATATTGATGAGGCTTAGATTGGTGTGAAGCCAGTTTCTCTAAGTTCACCGAAGGCCACTCAACCATCTGACTGGGGAGGCACATTCCCCCGCCGCTATAGGTCATGAAGGGGCAGGAAACACCCCCACCTCAACTGCCCCCATGGATTGGGTTGGGAGGATGGGGGTGGCAGAGGTTTAACCGGGCTTGGTCAAACTCAGGCAAATTGGGTTTGCACAAAGCTCAGCCACATTAACATGGATGGGGGAATCAAGTGAAATGCATAGTGTATGGCCAGCCTTAAGGGTGTATTCTATAAGACTGAATCTCAAAGCCAATGAACAGAGGTGTCCCCTGCACGCCATACAGCCATCCGGACCTATTGATGCTTGAAATAGCGATGGTGCTTGCAGTGATGTCCACGGATGGCGCTGAGCAAATCCAGAGATAATAGAAATGAATATCACCAGCATTTGAGAAATGGAATGAATCCAAAAAGTTATTTTTATTGCAGAGCAACTTCACATGTGCAATATAGCCATTACTATTATCTCTGAATCTCAAAATGACGTCTTATATCCCTCATGGACTGCAGTATTTCCCCACTGAAGGTCTCCTTCTAACCTCCCTGTATTCTCCCATTGAAGACAGTAGTCAACATCTGTCTGGCCTATAGAAGCCAACAAACAGATCCAAGCTTCTGTTCTTCTCCTGCTATCAGACAACCAGAGCTGTGATTCATTGCTGTTGGCAATGCTGACAGTGTGCATTACTCTGTTTTGATAAATAATCCCCTTAGCAGTGAAACTGTAACACCATATTTGTAGCAAAGTCGAATATTTTTGGATTGTGGGATTTTCGGCCTGAAAGTTAATTTGCCTGCTTTGGAATAAACAGCTCAATCCGGCATCGGCTAAGAGCACGCAACAGTTCACTATAATTAGATAAAAGGTCATTACTGAGTTTGTCCAGATTTACGTTATCATATAAAGCTTCGTTCACACATGAGTCGGTTTCCAGTATGAAGAAGGAAGTTCAAAGAAGTAGCAGAAAAGGTCTTTTTAGCTAAGTTTTTATAATGTACCTATGTGCATTGAGGCCCCATAAACACTTGCCAAACGCATGAACCTGCAAAGTGTTTTGCCGTGCCTGTGGCGCATAAGCACGGAGCTGCCCGTTCATTTCAAGGACTGCCTTATGCATGACAAGTGCAGCAAAAAAGCTCACGCAGCAGTTAAAGCTGTGAAAGTTGCATGTTTTTGTGCATTTGTTGTGCAATATTGTGTGCACCAAGATGTGCATTTGCGTGCCGCGTTTGGGGGTGCCATTAACAAAGAATGGCACCACAAGTGAGGCACGTACTTGTGTGAACGTGTGCAAAATCGTACAATTTTGAATGACTGGCAAGTGCAAATGAGGTCTCTCGTGCATTAAAGCCACTTTATGTTAAAAGGTCAGGTCACCCATGACTGATATTTCAGTGGTTGGTGGAGTTTGACAGTTTCGAATATCTCTTGGGCACTCTGTTGGTATGAGGAGTACACACTCTACACACCTCCAGTGGCTCCAAATCTTTATGTTGGTCTTTAATTTATTTTATATTGGGGAGAATGCAAGCAAGATGAGTTGAAACACTCAAGGTGAGGGAAGAAAACTCCCAGTACCAGTAGGAAAATATGACAGGGAGATCTCAGTGTTGGGTTATCCAAGACATAAAAAGCCAGGAGTCTGATTCAGACCGCCAGATACCACCTATAATTATAATATCACATTTTGGTGATCTGACCCTTTTATTAGGGATGCACCGACACCGGTTTTTCACCATATATCTCACCGATAACGAATACCGATACCCAAAGTCCCATTAAGGAAGCTGAGCGGTGAGTCATTACACGACGCCCGGCTTCCTTATTGGCCGTGAAGCTGGCTCTGTGCTCCCTCGTCAACAGGTGACAAGGAAGCATGGAGACGGCTTTCTGGCCATTTAGGAAGCCGGGGTGCGGGTAATGACTCCCCACCCGACTAATCAGGAAGCTGGGCGATGAGTCATTACCGGCCCTCACCTTCCTGACTGGCCGTGAAACATGCTCCATGCTCCCTGGTGATGAGGGAGCATAGAGCTGGCTTCCCGGACAATCAGTAAGCCGAGCAGCATGTAATGACTCGCCTCCCAGCTTCCTGATTGGTCGGGAAGCTGGGCAATCAGGAAGATGTTTGGAGGTTTTTGGTATCAGAATAGGCATTTGGGCGAGTACTCGGTATTGGTACCGATACGGGTATCGCTGCATCCCTACTTTTATATTACTTGAAATGCATTTCCTTCAAAACATACTGTCAAAAGTACTTCCACATATGACCTATGGTATTTATTTTTTTTGTACATACCGGAGTCTAACAGCTTCTTATATTGACCACTATGGTGGCAATGGTCATCACACATGCAGTGATAATTAAGGGGGTTCTTGTGCTCTTTTTAAGTTTTTTGTATTTAATATATTTGAAAATCAGTGTTGGGAAAATTCCAGGCTGGGTGGGTACTTCCAAAACTGAAGAGTGGATGGGAATAGAGCCAGGAACTGTGGCAGGAGGACCTCATTGCTGAGCTCCTAAGATATTTACGAAGTCAGCAGCTGACTGAGCTCACTGGACTTTACTTAAGCTGAAATATTTCTTTTGGGTTGAGCAACCCTTAAACACTGAATGTAAGTTAATACAAAGCACTTTAACCCAGGTACATGCTGTTAGTCTGAATTACGAATAATGCTGATTATAAACATGGGGCAATTTTCAAGCAATTTCAACCACTTTCATCCAGCTTTCCATCACAGAAATGGGTCAATGCAACCTAACACCAACAGCTTTGATTGGTTCATGTTTTTTATAGAAACTGTTGCCTGCAGGTTGCCTCAATCACCTTTTTGCAGTCAAAAGCTGGTGGAAAGTGGTTGACATGATGTGAAAATTGGCCTGTGTTAATGGCCATTTAAAGTTGGGTATACACAGCTAGAATTTTGTACAAAATGTCAGTCATGCTGTGCTAGCATTTCCCGACTTAAAGCTGGAACAAATTATAGTTTACACACTGCACTATGTATGTAAATTATCACTAAAAAAGTTGAGTTGTTAATGTGTGGAGGGCTGCTGCAAAGTATAAAAATCTTACATTGCAGCATGCCGTCTCCTGCACATGACGCCAGCCTTCTGGACGCCTCATGGAGTGAGGGATACATCTCGAGCATCCTGGCGCTGTCTCCTGCACATGACGCCAGTCTTTTGGGCGCCACATGGAGTGAGGGATACATCTCGAGCATCCAGGTGCCGTCTCCTGCACATGACGCCAGTCTTCTGGGCGCCACATGGAGTGAGGGATATATCCCGAGCATCCAGGTGCAGTCACCAGCACATGACACCAGTCTACTGGGCGCCACATGGAGTGAGGGCAGGGGTGTCCCGAGGCTGGGTGTCACCCGGAGCGGAGACCGGGTGAAACCCCGCCTTGACGTCATCGTGCATGCGCGGTCGTCTTATTGTGCTGATGGACACTGACAGAGAGAGGAGGGGACATTCACCCAGCAGGATGAGGTAGGCCGCAGGGGCTCCTCCTCTCTCCTGACACTGTTGGGCTCTCGGTCCGTGACCGAGTGCCCGATTTTTCATAGGGGGTGACACCAAGATGACTGTCAGTTATTTTGGTGTTACCCCTCCAATGGTGGCACCCGGGTGCGGGTCGCACCCCCCCCTTGTGACGCCACTGAGTGAAGGATACATCTCGAGCATCAAAGTGCTCCGGTCGCATCATCTGCCCCTCCTCACTACTTGCCCAATCACAATATGACTTGTATTTTTCTTAAAGAGTACAAGGCTTTCTGTGATTGGAGGAGGAGAGATGATATCACATCCCCGCCCCTTCTCTCCTCCAGCCACAGAACGCCTGTGTACGTTCAGATGTTGGAGTGTGAGCTGCTTAGCAAACCAATTATGTCAGTAAACTTGCAGGTTTTGCAGGTGCATTGTTGCTACACGTCTGTGCATTTTCCTTAGTAAATCAGCCATTTTGACTTCTGCAATGCAGCCAGAAATTTAAAACACCAAAACTGCTGTTTGACTGAACAAGGAGCATGAACTGTAAATGTTAATGAGGGTAAAGATGGCCACACACTTTACAACCTTCGCACGACTTTCATCGTGCGATGGTTGTAAAGTAATTAAAAGCTCGTACGATCTGCCCATCTTGGACAGGGGGATCGTACTTGTGATCATCGCAAGCCCGCCCCGCTGAGGGGAGGTCTTCTGTTGATTCCAATGCCGCAAGTGCAGTGTGCACCTGCGCACACCGGCCCGTGCGGCATTTGTCTCCCGAGAACGCCACTAACCCGCCGAAAATCGCACGATTCTCGGCGGGTTTTCAAGCCTGCTCGGGAGACAAAAGACGTGCGACCGTACAGTAGAAACGGTCGCACGACTTCCATGCACCTGCCGATTATCGTACGATCGCGGGATCACCCGCGATTATCGTAAGATAATCGGCAGGTGTATGGGCACCTTAACACAGTCATTCCAAAGATTGTGCATTGCCTTGGTCTAATTTTCATACAGATATACTGTTAGATTTTTTTGTTGCATTTTGAATACATTTTGAGAAACTAGGTCGCGTACATTTGGGATATTGGCACTGGAACATCATTGTGCCAGTGACGTCCTCAAGAGCATGCTGGAAATGTCACCACACAAAGAAATCTTTTAGCCCAGCCGAGAGCAAAACAAATGTCATTTGCCCCTCTACATAAAAATAAACACTTATTTAACCATTTTTGTGGCAGGGAGCAAGTAATTTTGATTTATTTTTTAGTACTGTTTTGTAAAATATATATTTTTATGTTATAGTATTAAAAAAAAAAAATCCATAAAAATAAAAGTGCTTTTCAAAATGAAACATTTTTATTTGTCAATTTTCTTAAATTAGTGACAGGCGTTTGTAGAATTGTCTCGTGGCATCTAAGTATCTTTAAAAATAATATACAAATGTATAAAACATATAAAAAAAATATAAAAATGAATACTTATGTTTCAATTTGTATTGGTTTTTAAACCATGGTGTGACAGGAACTGTATTTCTATTAGTTTTTTTAATATATGTTGTTATTTTTTGTTTCTTCTATTTTGACACGGTAGAATTTTTTTTACACTTCGTTTTTTTTTTTTCTTCATACCATATTTTTTTTCCCTGTTTGCCCTCCTCCTTCGCCACTTTTCCAAGCAATCTATCTTCTCTTTCTTTCATTCTCGTTTCCCCTCACCCCCTCTTAGGCTTTGGTGAAGTGTTTAGAATTCAACAATAGACCATGTGACTGCCTATGAGACACTCTTATTGTGAAGTAATGCTCAGGATCCTGCCCCCACCCCCCCCTTCTTTGTGCATTTTCTCTTTCCAATTCTGTGCCCTCCCTATGTAACCCTGTGTGTGCCCTGTTCTTCTCCTGTCTCTCTCCCCCTCCTCCTGCACTGTTCTCTCTTCCTTACCCTTAGTATGTGACCTTTCTCAGTTTATGGTGCCCTCTGGGACTTTTTCTTTTACACCTCCTTCCCCTTTTATTTATAACAGTGGATCAACTGATAACATCTCGGCTATCTTCCTCGCATTATGTTTTTTTAAATTTCTTCAGCCGTATTGTTGTCTGGCCAACTTTTGTGTCTTTGCTCTCTATACCCCCCCTTCACTTCTGCATATATCATGGATACTATAAATAAACCTTTTAAAGTGGATGATGTGAAAATTGACCTTAACCATTAAAAATGTGCATGCAGCTGTTTCATATTATTATTTTATTAATATTATTTTTTATTATTATTACAATATTATTATTATTCATTGATTTATATAGTGCCAACATTTTACCCAGCTATTTACAAAATAAAGAGAAACATTCCAGTTACAATACAATGCAAGACAAGAAGATTAAGCTGGCCATGCGAATTTCGCACAGTGGTTCTTACTTTTGGCACCCTTCTAGACGAAATCAGCTGATCGAAGGAGCCGTTTGCAAAAATCTTCGCGCGAATGGTGCATGTAGCCAGTCAGCAAAGCAAAGGAAACAGGAGGATTCCTCCATCAATGCTTATGAATCTGTTCTATTCTTTTTTCGTTCAGCCCACTGGTGTAACGAAAAACAAATACGGTAGAACAGTGTAAGGCCAGCTTTAGATATATGGCTCTGCACATAAGAGGCTACAATCTAACAGTTTTATATCCGAGAGTGCCTGGGAGCTCAATAGCCAGTGGGCGCTCCCAGCTGCAAAGTTGAACATTTTGGCATGGCCCTGCTCCACCCGCATCCCGGTAGCCAGTAGAGTAGTGCGCTTTGCAGGGGGTGCGGGAGGGCTCTGCCTCTGAAGCAGTAAAATTGAGATATGTATATCGAAGTTGACCTCTAAAAATGTAAAAGTCTACACAAAGAAATCATTGACTTGTCCAAATGTACATCAACAATTTAATTTTAAAGAAAAAAAGCTGCACCTTTTATTATTAAGGCCTCATTCACACGGGAATCGACAGCTACGTGCACGGTCGTATCGGGCAGCTCCCGGGAAGGACAGGTGCTGCATGTGATTAGTACGCAGCCTCTGTCCTTTTCTATGGGAGTATTCGGCCGTACGCGGCCCTACGATCACCCGCCCTGCACGTCTGTGGGGGCATCCGTACTAGTACACTGACAGCATCCATCCTGTCTGCGTCCGAGCCAGGAAACCCGCACCCGTATGGACCTGCACTTGGGGGGAGCGTAGGGCAGCGTATGGCGGTGTACACCCATAATGAAGGACAGGGGCTGCGTACTAATCATACAGCACCTATCCTTCCCGGGAGCTGCCTGATGATTCCCGTGTGAATGAGGCCTAAAAGTGGTCCTTGAGTTTCCAGGTAAGTGACTTCATCTGAGATGATGCCATCAGTCTGCTGCAGGGAAGAAGAAGCATTTCCTTAGTCTCCTTTCCCCATGATCATTAGGGATGAGTTTGGGTCCATCGCTATCATGGGTTTGCGGCAAGTCCCCAAAGATTTGCAAAGTGCGTGAATCGGGACCAAATATAAGGCCGACCTATAATACATTCATAGTGCATAGCCTGTGCCCCTGGTCAGATGAGTCACAAAAAACAAAATGTGGTGGAATAGATAACCCAGCCCACTTTCTTTAAAGGAGCCATATTGTCTGTGTGTGTGTTAAGCAGAGCTGGCAAATAGTGATGGGCTCGGGCGTGTTCGCAGCTCCACGTGCCGAGCCTGCCAGGAAGCTGACAGCGCCGCAGCGCCAATCACAGGCATGGAGACATTTTCCGATCTCTGCAGCTGCCGACCGGGATAATGTCTCAGTACCTGTGATTGGCGCTGCGGCGGTGTCAGCTTCCTGGCGGGATCGGCACGTGGAGCTGCAAACACGCCCAAGCCCATCACTACTGGCAATTCTGTGTAGGGATTCTGATTAATTTTTTTATTTTAATCATGTATATTTAATTTATTCATTTTATATTGTATTCATTCATATTTAATTTATTCATTTTATATTTTATTCATGTATTTAATAAAATAATACATATTTGGTCATGGGTGCATGATACCAAGGGCAATATCTAGCTTCCCACTCCTTTTGCCTGACAATAGCTTGCTTATCAGCCCTACAGCATTGGCCAGCATTGAATAACAAGATCCCCCCCATAGGCTTTAATGGGGTTTGCTGCAAAATTCACAAACCGAACCCAGGCAAATTCAGTCAGATCGGATGCAGCAGTAGCTAACCTGAGTCTGACATTTGGAGACACCGCCAAGAACTGCACAGTTACCAGTATCTCGGTCCACCAGGACACCAAAAAATGCCGTTATGTATTTAAAACATTAAGCAAGCTTTTTAAAATGTAGATTGTGTAAATACCTAAATTTGCCTTGATACCTGACAATCTCAGTATTTAAACACTTAGACTAGGAAAACGAGGACCAGGACTGTGAACAAATCAGACATTGCTGCATTGTGCATGTCCTTATAGTGCTCATACTGGCTGGAGGAGAGAGCAGAGCGTGCATGTAGATGACCTTATTGGTGCGCTAATACTCTTTCATTGTCAAGTCAGCAAGCTGGGGTTCATTTTCTTGATTATGTTGTACGTCTGTACTTTGTGGAGCTGAGCTGCTTATGCAGTATGACGGGGGTACTTAATCACAAGAGTATGTATTCAGGTGTTTGCTTCGACATTAGGATAATTTTTGACACCTGCTCTTGTGTCAGGTTTACTTTAATAGGACAAATAGCATGCAGATCAGCAACCCCTAGAAGTCAGCCAGTGCCCATCTTTCATCTCTTGACTGATGTATGGGTGGCTGTAATCAGGCTGATGATTCCGTGTCTTCTCGGTATCATAATTATCGTTAGATGAGCAGCTGATTACATTCATGTTGTGGTTATTTTCTGTGACTTGTATGTTTTCATTAAAGTCATGTGTCATTTCTGATTGCAAATTCTATCCACGAAAATGACTTTCAGATTCTGCCTGCTGCAGCCTGCGTGTGATCTCTTGAATTGATAAACACTATTAGAAACACGCGTTGTCAAAGAGACATTTTCTACATGCTGGGAAACCATTAGTGAAGGCTACAATGAAATGGCTTGCTACTTGTAATTAATCATCGACCTGCCTCTTGCTGATGGTTAAGAGGTACAGGAAAATATGGGGGTGCCAGACTACATGTTGAGAGTTCCTGAAGAGCTTACAGTATTTCTTCATTTATGTCAATAGGTCAAGCCAACATGTTTAAGGTTCTAATGGGCACCCTTCATCAAGTTGAAGCCAACATGTTTAAGGTTCTAATGGGCACCCTTCATCAAGTTGAAGCCAACATGTTTAAGGTTCTAATGGGCACCCTTCATCAAGTTGAAGCCAACATGTTTAAGGTTCTAATGGGCACCCTTCATCAAGGTCAAGCCAACACATTTACGGTTCTATTAGGCTCCCTTCATCAAGGTCAAGCCAACAGGTTTAAGGTTCTAATGGGCACCCTTCATCAAGGTGAAGCCAACACATTTAAGGTTCTAATGGGCACTCTTTATCAGGGTCATGCCAACACATTTAAGGTTCTAATGGGCACCCTTCATCATGGTAAAGCCAACACATTTAAGGTTCTAATGGGCACCTTTTATCAGGGTCAAGCCAACACGTTTAAGGTTCTATTGGGCAGCTTTTATCGGGGTCAAGCCAACACATTTAAGGTTCTATTGGGCACCTTTTATCAGGATCAAGCCAACATGTTTAAGGTATTAATGGGCCCCCTTTATAAGGGCTTAAAGCCCATCTCAGGGCAAACAAAAAAGTACCCTTTTATTGGGGCTACCACCTCATTGCAAGGAATAAGTGTTCATTTTTGTCTAGGGGCTGGAGTAAAGTAAAATTACTTACCTGAGTTCTAGACCGTCCCTACAGACTCCGGTGGTCTAAGGGTCACTGACATCATCACATCTAATGCAGGTTCCATGGAGCTGCACCCTACAGCCTCTTCTCCTAAAGGTGCCCATACACTGTGCAATTATGGCACGATAATCGTGGGAAATCCCGTGATCATACGATAATCGCAAAGTGTATGGAAGACGTGAGACCGTTTTTACTGTACGGTCGCACGTCTTTTGTCTAGGGTGCACACTAGAAAACCAGCCGGAAATCGTACGATTTTCGGCTGGTTTGAACGGTGCTCGGGAGACAAATGCCGAACGGCCCGGTGTGCGCACGCGCACACTGCCCCTTCAGCATTGCGGTCATCGGAAGCCCACCCCTCAGGGGGGCATGGCTTGCGATGATCGAGAGTACGATCTGCCTGTCCAAGATGGGCAGATCGTACGTTTTTTAAATTACTTTACAACCATCGCAAGACTAAGGTGCCCTCCTTGAGGAGGAGGGGATACCCTCAGTGAGGAGGATGGGCCGCAGAGACTTTATTCTATTAAAATATCATATGATTTTACCTAGGGATGCACCGATAACGGTTTTCCGGTATCGAGCAAGAGTACCGATATTTTTTTTTCGGTACTCGCCGATACGGAATACTGATACCGGAAATCCCAAGGAAGCCAGGCGGCGTGTAATGACTCACCCCCTGGCTTCCTGATTAGCAGGGAAGCCTTCTCCATGGAGCCGGCTTTCTGGTCAATCAGGAAGCCGGGCTCTGTGTAATGACGCATGGCCCGGCTTCCCGATTGGTCGAGAAACTGGCCAATCAGGAAGCCGGGCAACACGTCATTACACAGCACCTGGCTTCCTGATTGGCTTGGAAGCTGGCTCCATACTCCCAAGTGACAAAGGAGCATGGAGCTGGCTTACCAGCCAATCAGGAAGCCAGGCAGCATGTAATGGCTCGCTGCCTGGCTTCTTGATACCGGAAGTATCGGGCTAGGCATCGGAGCATTTGGGCCCAAATACTCGGTATCGGTGAATCCCTAATTTTACCCCACCAGCATGTGAAAATACGAGGCCACTCAGAAAAAGCCTGCATATTAGTCTGTTATGCAGGCTTCCAGTGGAGATTACAAGAGCCCATTTCAACACACATTACACAGGAGGACTGTTGTCATGGTTTGAAACTCACCCTGGGAAATGCCTAGACAGAATTTGGTGCAAAGAGGCTGTAGGAGATCAGCAGCACTGAGATTCAACAAAGGATAAAAAAAAGGTGACAATACATATTTTTTATATTGATATTGTTTACGATGCACAGTGCTTTGGCAAAGAAACTGTCATTCAGTTGGGAGTTATACTGTATCTCATCACTGGACAAATCTCAGAAGCCTGATCGCCAATTCTCTCTTTAAAAATTGCAGCTGGCGCCAATATTTTGAGGTGTGCATCTGATTGGTGGCTGTGATAAATCAGGTATTTTTTAAAATCAGCGTTTGAGTGTATGAGAGACCGTATGAAGGTCACCAGCAAGTGTGTTCCAGGATCAATTACAGACAAAAAGGAGTCTAAGGCTGCCCATACACCTTGCAATCATCGGACGACACTTTGGACGTACGGAAACGCCACCAAACGTACGATCGACCAAAGTTTTCTACCCTGCTGGTTAGCCAAAACTCGATCGATTGTACAGTATTTGCGGTTGTACACTGCCCATCAACCTTGCAAATATCGGACGAAAATGCGATCGCAAACTAAATCCGTTCGATATTCGTAAGGTGTATGGGCACCATAAGCCAGGGCTGGAAAAATCCCAGAAGCCAGGTAGCCAGCTCTTCTTAAAAATTACAGCTGGCACCTAACTTTTAATATTTTCTTTATTTATTGTCCATGGAGCTGGCTCCTGAATTCCATATTAATTTGTCCCCCTGCAACTATTTTAGGGTGCTATTCTTTGTATGGGGACTGTATAATGTATTGCAACTCCTACACTCCTAAACACAGACCACCTCGGACCTATTATTGGTTTCAGTTTTGGACCAGGTACATTATACACTCATATATAGAATAGGAACACATTTGTGACTTGAGTTGTTGGCACAGTCACCGAATGGTGATCATGAGATACCTGCTCAGGCTTAACATGCTTGTACTGTAAAGTCTACTTTGCTGGCTTCAATGTCTACTGATAAGAAAAATAAACCTGGATTGAGTATCCGGTGCTGGGAAAGTTTGATCTTCCCTAGTGATTATTCCTCAGTCTTCTTCTAGATTTTCCTCCCCCTCCATCTCACTGCCCTGATCTCAGTACGGTGCCCCTTCCAGCACCGGCCTCATTATCTACGCAGCCTCTGCTCCACTGCACTTCCCTGTCAATTTTCTGGATCTCCTCAGCATGTCCCCATTAGGTTGACAGCCCCTCCTTCTCCGGCCCTCTGTTGATTTTTGCAGCCTGATCTCTCTGCACCTGTTAATCTTTAATCCTCATCATTTCTCTTCCTCCATGAAGGGAGAGGCCTCACATGCTTCACGACCCTCTCTGCCAAGAATTCCGGCTGTCCCCGCTTTTGCACGCATGGTACCCGTGGCACGCACCCCCTTTTTTTTTCCAGCAACCCCCTGTTTTTTTGTTTCAAGAGGAAGCTTGTACGTACTCCCTTCCCCCCTTGATATTTAGAGATTCCCACAGTCCTTTCCGCAGTAACAAAGAAAGAGGGTGACTACCTCTTATTGCTGACAATGGCTTTTTCTGTGACGGGGAGGACACTTGTACCTTTCCTGTTGTATACAAATAACCTACATAGCTGTCAATATGTTAAAACAAATTTGATACTTTGCAAGGGATTTTATATATCTCTGAGACATAGGTCTCATTATATCTCTAATTTAGCATAGAAATTTTCTTTTCATCGCATGCAAAATGTTGTTCTTGATAAAAAAAATTGCATGTAAAAAACTTTTTTTAATTAAAGTTATATTCTCATCAAAACTGAGAATTAGCTTTATGATGCACAGAGGGAGCATATCCAGTCTGGTGAGTAGCTCAGTCTTTCATCCAGAAATTGCTGTACTTTACTGTTTCCCTAGACTCCTTTTTGGCTGTAACCTGGTGATCCTGGAACACACCTGCTGGTGATGCTGGCACACCCTCCATTGCTGCCTCACACACTGATACCGTGAAGTTAAAAAATGCCTATTTTTATCACACACACCAATCGGATTCAAACCTGCCTTGGACATTACATTTTTATAGATTACGCAGGGAACGGACTGAAAAGAATAACATGCTTTAGATGCTCCTCATCCTGTAAAGTTGTATATGCTTGGGTTACACAGGATCAAGGTAAACTGAAAGATCTTAACACAGGTAAACTGTTTACCTGCTAACAGTAAATCGCTGAGTGCTAGTTCACACCAGCCCCAGTGCGTTATGGCCAGAATGCACTGGATCGCATCCTGGCTGGCTCACTTTGTTTGGGGCGGGAGGGGGCATGGAGGTGCGTTGAAGTCAATGGCACCGCAGCTCACACCCTCCGGCTGCAGTGCGATCGGCCGCACCCGAACGCATGGCACATCAATGACTGTGTACCGCATGCTGCATTCTGCATGCACTAATTTTTCTGACTGGGCCGGAACGCAGGCATCTAGTGTGGCTGATCGCACTGCGGCCGCAGGGCGTGGCTGCAGTGCCATTGGCTTCAATTCACCACCACTCCCCCTCCCACCCCAAAACAAAGTGAGCCAGCCGGGATGCAATACAGTGCGTTCCGGCCATAATTGGGGACGCAACGCACTGGGGCTGGTTTGAACTAGCCCTGAATGCATTTAATTGTTGCCTGGAATTGCCCTTTGGCTCAAACCCCTTCAAGGCATAAATACATTAGAAGAAAGGAATGTAGGTTGTATACAGTATTGTGATACTGGTATAAAGCTGGCCATACACCTATAGATTTTTCAATCGGAAATGTTCATCGCTGCCAAAAATTCTCATTTGATTCTAGCTCAAATAGCCCATCATGCACAGCCCAATGTCGATTTTAGCAATACTAACTTCCCAAATTTCATCGATCGACAGAACGGATTTTCATTTGCCCATGTGCAGTGCTCTTGCTGTGATTTTTAACGTACGAAAACGCCACTAATCCATCCATTTTCGTACAATTCGAAAAACGTTTTCCAGCCTGACCGATCGAGGAAATGCGTCCAGAAGTACAGTCATTTAAATCGTTGGGTTCCCATCAACTAATCGATTATCGTTCGAAAGACCATTCGTGGACAATTTCCGAACGAAAATCTAGTGGGGTTATTCACTATTGTGCTGAAGGATATAGCTGTAGCATTAGCTGATCCTTTAGCTCTCTTCGGCCGCCGGAGCCTTTCGATTCAGTTGAAGCGAAGGGCTGCTGTATGGGCTATTCACAGTAGCCCATACAGCAGCCGAAGGCAGCCCAGCCAAGCTGAAGGCATATGCTTCGGCTCGACTGAGCCAAAGTGACAGCTGAAGCAGGGTGAACAGCTGGAAAGCTGTCACCGCTAGATTCACCCTTTTTTTTTTCTTTTTAAATATTTTTCTTTTTTTTTTCTTGCTATTTTTTAAAAAAATGTACATTATTTTGCAAATTTTTTTTTTTAAATATTTTACTTTTTTTGCTATTCTGTTCAGTACCGTGGAGGTACCGAGCAGAATAGCCGAGCCGAATGCCGCTTGGCGGTATTCGGCAATATATACTCACTGCCGTTCGGTCCCTATGAGAATAGGGGCGAACGGCAGCGAGTGAGCTGCCGGAGCTTTGGCTCAGCTGATCCAGATGTTGGATTGGCTCAGTCAAAGACCTTCTGTACTTCGACTCAGAGCATGTTTGTCTGTACTTCGGCTCAGAGCATGTTCGTCTGTACTTCGGCTCAGAGCATGTTCGGCTGTACTTCGGCTCAGAGCATGTTTGGCTGACCGGAGGCAGCCGATGTACAGCTGATTTTAGCCGATGTACAGCTGAAATCATCCGTAAAAGCCAGAACTGAATAGCCGAACAGCATTCGGCTCACTTTACATCGGCTGGGTTATTCACTCGGCTGCCTTCGGCAGCTTTGTGAATAACCCTCTAGGTGTATGGGCACCTTAGATGAAATTAAAAAAAAAAACAAGAACATTTCCAATCTACAAAACCTGGTTCTGTTTCAGGAACCGTTGGCAATAATTCCTCTGGATTCAACTTTGGTTGTAGGCCAGTTCCAGTGCTCATGGTAATATGTCTGCGTCGGTCTGCTCTCGGTCTACCTTCAACAAATTCTTGCCTACAAAGCAGTTAATAAATCCTGCAGCTCCTGGAAGAATTTAATACCCCCTCTTAGAAATAATCCCCAATCCCTCTTTCATTATCAAGTAAGCAGCCCATTCTAGTGCTACATGCAGTCTATCACAGGCCTGCCCAGTGTTCAACCAGGGGACAGAATACAGAAAGGAAGGCAAGAAATCGTACTGATGTTAGCTTTTTTCTTGGGTTTCATGTTTGAATGTTAAAGCTGAACTCCAGGTAGCACAGCAACGGATACAGAATGTATTATATAGTATAATATTTATAATGTAATGGAATGTGTATTAATTAAAAAAATATAACTAGAATAAATACCTGAAATTGATTTAATTTTGGCCTCTTGCAAACGTCTCTATATCAAGACTGGGAGAAGGGGCAATACTGGGGGCCAATCAGGTATCCTGCATGCACATGTGCTAGCAAGCAATATTCTGACAGGAGGAGAGAAGGGAAGAGATTACCTCATCAGTCTGTTGTTGCTCTTTCATTTGCCAGTTAGAGGCCAGGGCAAAGAGGTGACCTTTAAAAACTATAACTAATCATCTGTATAGCATCACTGAGACTAGGAGAAGGGCTGTACTTGGGGCCAATCAGGTATCTTGCATGCACATGTATCTTGAGGACAGGATGGACAGGTAGGTCAGCTCCCATACACAGTACATATTTAAATTGTGTGTGTTAAATTCCCCATAGTGGTCTAAAGCTGGCCATAGACGGACTAATAGTAGTGATGTCCCCCATTTCTAGAATAATCCGGCCATTTCTGATTTCCTAGGAAGTGGTAATAGCTGGTGAGTGCCTTTGGAGTTTGTAGGAGCTTATAGTGTACATGTAGATTTTCCAAATTGCAACTCTTATAACTGACCTCTTCCAATGGTGTCAGAGATCTTTTTGTCTGTCTCCTTTAGGGTGACCATAGACCTGCAATGACAGTCACTGGATGGAGCTAAATTCTGACTTTGCATTGTGACCACATTCCAACTGAATGTCCAATTGAGGTTGGAGGTGCAAATGCCTGCTATAGAAGCTGAATGGTAGAATGGAGAGGCACTCAGATGGGTTTAGAGGAATGAGGTAGATAAACCCACACAATGCGTAATGACCACATGTAGTACACACAGCAGACAGGAGGCGGGGCAGTGGCACGAAGGCTTCAGAATGTTAAGATCTGAAAAGGTGGTGTTATTCTCTTAATGCATCCAAACAGCATAAGAGAGATACAGGAATGTGAGCAATATAAACTGATATGACATCTCGGTAGCTCTGTATATGTCATGGATCTAGACATTTTGCGATCTGCATTAATAGGAAGAGCAACTGTATAGGAAATGTTTTCTACATCATGCCAGCATATCATACAAGGGTTGGATGAAGAGCAATGAACCATACAAAGTAACAATTTGAAGCCTTTGACGCCGGAATTTTTGAAATGTCAGTGTTCACTAATTAGATGGGCAGATGGTGCACTTACATGAAAAAAACGAACCCTACGCCAGGCTCATTGTGTACCTTTGTTTTTGACCTAACACTGTAGATGAGATGAGCAAATATAAGACCAGTGACAGGTTTTCTGTAATTATTAACAGCATGGGCACCATGCCCGCCTGCCCACTGGTGCTCATAGCAACCAATAAGATCCTTTTTTTTCCTTCTCTTATACTGAGCTGGAGGCCTAAAAAAGGGATAACATGGTTGGTCATCACATGAACCTTTATTCATTCCTTCTAGAGATAGCTGTCCACATATGCATGAGCTTTCAAGATTTTATTTAGTTACAATAATTTTTTTTCAGAACACATGCTTTATGTGTTTTTCCCCCCTGGCTCTATTGCATTTTTCATTAGAAAATTAGGGAAAAATTTGATTAGTGTTTCTGAAATTCCTATTGCATTTCCATCCCAGTTTGATTTATGAAAGAACCAAATGTTTTGTGCTGCATGCTGTTAAACCCTTAGCGTTCATTCACACCTAAGCAATTTGAAGCCTGTTTCCAGAAGCACTTCAACATTTAATTCTTAGCTTCTTATGTTATTCTATTGTTCCCATTCACAACTGAGCGATGTGTTGTCACTCAACACTCAGAAGTACAGGAGCTTCTTTGGGGCATAATCGCACGTTTTTGGTCTCAAAAGACTTCAGGAGGAGCGCCTGAAGTCTGTGCGTCTTTTGTGTGATTTCACAACTAATATGTTTCTCCTTAAGGGCCCATTGACACCAGCATCTGGTGTGCAGTATCCCACCACAGTGCCGAAGCGCTGATCCCATTGCATCGCACGGTGTTCTTTATTTTTGTTAGAACTTTATTAAAATGTCACAAGTGACATTTCATTCAGTTCTACAGGCACAGTGGGGTGCTAGGTGGTTGTACTGAATTGCATCCCATTGCGTTGAAAGCCTTGTCTTGCGCTGGAAACAATGGCTAACACAGCTCCAAAGCAGATGGTGTGAATGGACCCTGAGAGAAAGCTCCCCAGTAGACCACAGACCGCAAAAAATAACCTGATAGGCGTCTCTAACTGTATCCAAAACAAACAAAAAAAAGGTTCGGCTATAAATACACTTTAGGAAAATGACCACCAATTCTGCGATCTGCAGTGCGATAATATTCATCTCATACTTTGACTTTCTCCAGTTCAGTTTTAGGATCAAAAACGACTTCTAAAATTAACATTATGAGCAGCTCATTATTTCAAGCATTTTGGCATGGGGGCAGGCTAATCAATGGGGATCAATTGTTGTATATGTTGTTTCTGAATTTATTTATTAGGAAGAAGAACCCAGAGTAACGCAGATGCCACCATAGAAATATTTAAAATGTGAAAAATGGAAAAAAATTATCTGCTTGTATATGTCACTCTCTCACCAGCCAGATTTGTGAGGTGTCCCTCCTTGGTGACAATGGCCCTACAGAGTGTAAGCCAGCAACTTGCTCATCCAGCTGGCATGGGAGTGGCCCATACAAGCCAGTATTTCTATTAACTGTTGTCTCCCGCATATCAATCCTGCTGCTGGTGCCAGTGACAGGATTGCTATTGTGACATTGGTCTAAGGGTGTGCAATAACCTATAATAGGTCCTATAGAGTTTCAGTCAGAGAGAAAGAGTCTGAATGCAAACAGCGTCTGCCCTGCCGTCGTTTTTGAAAACCCTTAGTGCTCTGTGAATCCGGTGTCATGTCAGGTTTGTTTATTAAACAAAAATGTTATATACGTTGTAAAATACAGATATAAAATGTCTAAACCTAAAACAAAATTCAAATAACATTCATCAAAAAAACATTATAGTTTCCATTTATATGTCTGTGCAGAACACTATTCTGAGCTGAGCCTCGACCTTCCTCATTTACATATGGCTCTTTCTATTTCTAAATCAAGGACTGCTGAGAGCCTGTCTAAATTATTTCTCTATAATTTCCCCTGATAGCGTTAGAACTTGCAGCACAGTGGGTGGCGATATTTCAGAAATAGGGCTACCGGCTAAACGAGCTTGGCAATTTGTAAAATGGCAATCTCATCACGAATGCGACTTCTCGCAGCGTTATGCCACTAATGGATCCTTATTTGCAACGGCCGTGATTATATTATGTAGGGAACACATATATTCTCTGCACTTCTTTTGTTGGAGAATAGGGAAGTTAGAAATGAACGGGCGGCAGTTTTTATTGTTCCAAGGAAGTTTAGCAGACTAAAAGGGACTAAATATAGTAACAGGAAGTAACAGGTTAGGGACGCCCGATGTAGTAACATAGAGGAGCCCCCACTTCCACAGTTCCTTAATAGGCAATTACAAGTTTTCACCTTGCTTGGTTTTGAGTGCTTGGTAAAAATAAAGACTCTCCGAGGGAGTCATTGTCATTTAAATAAAACCTGGACTATCGCTTTCTTTCTAAAAATGCTACTTGTCTGGCTGTTGTGCTGATGTGATGGTTTCAATTCTGTCTCAGTCATTGACCTGAAAACATAGAAGAGTGACAGCAAAAAAAATACAGGGTGGTCCATCAGGTCATTGATATTTAGATGCCCGGGTTAAATTTAGCAGTGCTAGCATGCACCAGTTAACTTAATAATAACTCTATGACTAATTTGCATAAGTAAATATCTTTAGATTTTTAAAGCACATATATGGCTTTCATTTGGTACAATGTTTTTTTTTTTTTTTATGATTTGTCCTAATTATGGGCTGCCAGATGCAAAAAAATATAAAGAAAAATTTTTTTAAATTATTTTCTTCATATTTTTTTTAATTTTTTTTTTTTTTTTAAATAATGCAACCGTATCTAAAAGTGTACACTATTAAGTAGAAGGCAGTGCAGATCCCACTGCAGCCTGAACATGGTGGCGTTCATCTGCAGGCTAAAGTTTTATTTTGTCAGTGAAGCCTCCGGCCTGTATGTGATTATTATGTCATAGCCGACATTGTAACGACTTGATCAGGAACATTCTATCTGGATCCCGATCACCGTTGGGACCCCAAATGTCAGTTGACAGCTGGGTTTGAGAGCTAGAAACTGCATGGAGTTTTGGCTTTCAAAAAGGAGGGCATTTACTAATGTATCCCCAGCATGGGGTATGGTGCTGGGGAACGTTCATAAACAGATTGTGAGAGGAAGAGGTTAAAGATCAGTTCCATGCTACAGTGGCAAACATGGCAACTGTGCCAATTTCAGAAAGTCCTCTACATTTACCTTAATCTGATTTTCATGTTGTCCACTGCAGCCAGGATTCACTGTGTTCTTGGTGTGAACTGCAGCCTCTGGTCACATATAGAATTGTAGGCTCAGGATCAGGGGCTCCCAGTTTTCTGGTACAAGGTAGTTTAAAGTAGTGGAGTGTAGTGTGGTTATGCTTGAATAGAAAAAAACAGGAAGGCAGACATTGTCCACTGAATACAATGCAAGACTTAATTTTCAGTTTTAATGAAAGCATAATGAAAGCTTTTAATTCCTGCCCTGCTACCCAGATTCAAAGCCTCAGGTTTGCACACAACAGACTGACTCTGCTTGCTCTTCATCCCGGATCATACATCTACATCCTGTATTAAAGGGCATCCTGGCCTCAAAACTGCTAATTAATCGCCACCTAATTATTCAACCACTGCTAGCAACAATAGGGTTCGTACTAATAGAGCATGGTTTGGTGAGCACGGCATGGCAGCAGGGAGAGTTTGGTATGCACACGTGAATGTGAAGTCATGACTCGAGATGAGCAAAATGAACCATAGGAAAACAGATTCAACCTTGATTGCATTGATTACTCAATGCAGGATTTAGCAAAATGTCATCAGATGGTACTAAAAAGTGTTTATATATTTTAGCTTATGGACTGCCTAATGTACCCTTTTGTCTTGCTAATGTACTTGCCCATCCTTTCCCACAATCAATCAGCAAAGGTTGGGTCACCAGGCAAAGAGTCCTTATAAAGCATTATAGTGACCATCGCTTTTCTAATAGTATTGGTATCGGGCACATTCTTTGAAGGTTATTATCAGCTAAAGTGAATTGCTGGCTGTAGTGCTTTTACTTAATGTTGTGATGGCATCATTCATTGCATCCAAATACAGTCCATTTTCCAGCAGCTTTTATTCATGACACTGGTTCCCACTGTAGGCCGTCACACATTTTTTTACGTAAGTGGCAACAGATAAGCAGGCTCAGTTATGGGATCTGTTGATGACTAATGTCGGAGTTAGTGAATGAAAGTGGAAGTTATAGAGACAGAGTTAGGAATTTTGGGACTATTTTGTTGAGCGCCCTGCATGCTAAGTGGCCTGGTGTGGCACAGCTTTCCATCAGG